GCTGTAGGTTCATGTTTATTTCACGTTTTTTTATGACAAAAATAATATTTAAAAACATGTCCATACAAATGATAAAAGTATTAGAATTACAACCGCTAAAAAATTTAATTTTTATATCACCATATTTTTATTTAAAACGTATTCTTTTCTCTCGCTTTGTCCGCCATTACTAACTTTAAAAAAATCTCCGGTTGGGCCGCAGTGCATTATGGGATATGCTGGGCCGGGAAGGATCCATCAGACCTGTCCTTCAAATCGAGGAAAAGGAAGGCCGTATTTGTCGGCCGCATCGGAGGAGTCTTCGGTTTTAGACGTCCTTCGTCGCGGCGCTGTGACGTATGCAGCCGACGAATTCGGCCTTCGGAGGACCCGTCCTGTTGTTTTGGACACAGCCTCAGTTCTGCTGTTTTCACCTCTAGAGGCTTTTGTCCCCATAAGAAACAATGGGTCCTCATCAGGCTGTGTGTACTGGGGAAATGGTCAAAAATTGTCCTCACCAAGTAGCAAAAACAAGTGTTGTGTACACACGGACACACACACAGCCTTGAGTCAGGAAAATTAACCCTTTAGATCAGGGCTGTTCTACTGAACTGCTCCAGGGGCCACAGTTACTGCAGGTCAACAACTGAGGGGCCGAACATCCAGCAATTAAAGTTATTATGTAAATAAACCAAGTATTACAAAGATCTGTTACCTTTGAATTAGTTTATTTTGCTGTATTTAATCATGAATACAACATATAAAACCCTATAAAAGTAATCATAATTAAACAATATCAAAACAAAAAGAACACATTCTGCATCCTATTTTAACACAAAATATTTTGACATCTCTGACTTGCCAAAATTTTAATCAATTTTATTTTCAATTTCATATTTTTATATTTAACTGCTTATATTTTTATCTATCTTGAGTGTTCATAGAAATGTTTTTACCAGCTTGTAGCCAAGATTCTGATGTTTCTGTATATAAACATGTCTGTGTTTAACTAACAGAACTTAGAGTAATTAAAGTAGAAAACTGGAGGTTTGGGCTGAAGAGATGAATGAACCAATTGGCGGGCCAAATTTGGTCACTGCGGCCCGCGGGCCGCCAGTTGAATAGCCCTGTTTTAGATATTCATATTTATCTCCCAGAGAAAAGGGGAAACATGCATTAACATGTAGGAAAACATTATTTTCACAGTGATTAGAAGAAAGTTTTTCAATACTTGTTATTTGTACACAAATCATATTTTGTTTTTACAAAAGTTAGTATGATTAAGGTACGATGGTAAAGAAATGTGTGTATTTTTAATAAATGTTACAAATGGGTGTTTATTTTATTTTATTTTAATATTTTTTAGGCCTGCAAGCTCTATATATGTACAGAGGAGGAGATAAATACAAACTTTATTGGCCCAAAAACTGGCTGAAAGTATGCAGCAGTGCAGATACAAGAATAAGAGTCAGACTATTTTGAAACGTAAAACCCTAAAAATATGTATTGGAAATATTTTGATCTGCAACACAATAAAGGGTCAAGAATTATTCAGCAGCTCCTGATGCAGACTTTAGTAGCTTGAATCAAAGCAGCTCAGTTTTTTCCCATGTCTCTTTTAATTCCACCCTGTTCTCTGAAAGCACACATGAGCGCTGTAAGTATAAAAGTATAAAATAAATCCCCCAACTCTGGAACATGTAAGGAGGTATTCCCCCTAGGGCTGGGCGATTATTTGATCGCAATTATTGATCAAGAAAAAATTCAGGTCGATCACGGTTATCAGCTGTGAGACTCTTACATGATCAAACATGGAGGAAATGTGCGCGACAACAGCCAATCAGAATCCACCCTCTCCTGCTCCACTTCTGTTTATAAGTTGATAATGAAACGCAGACGGAATCACAGAATTAACCAAAATAATCCAGAATATAACGCTGAAACGCACAGAGTTCACGTACAGCAGTGTTTCCCAAAGTTGGGATCGGGACCCAAAATGGGGTCCCGAAACATCAAGATGGGGTCCTGAAAAGATTTTCTGAATTAATTACATTTTTGCCTTAGTTGTTACAAAGGAGTGAGGTTAGTATATTTAAAATGGATAAATGTAGTATAAAAATTGTTACTATGTTCATGTTTTGTTGACCTGATACAAATGTGTATCATACAAAAACAGTTGGGGGCACAGGTCTCTGCTGCTGTTATTTTGTGGGTCAAAAGCTGAAAAGTTTGGGAACCAGTGCACTTTGGTTCCCAAAGTTGGGCTTGGGACCCAATTATGGGTCATTGTCATAGTCTTTGTTTATTCTCCTTAGTTTTCCTAGTGTCTTCTATGTTCCCCAGTGTGTCTTTGCCCAGCTGCCCCACAT